GTTGCTCAGACTCTGGTGTCATTTGTTGAAGTAATGTGTCTTGCATGCTGTCATGGCTTCAATGTCCCAGTGTTGTTGCTCAGACTCTGGTGGCATTTGTTGAAGTCATGTTTCTTGCATGTTGTCCTGGCTTCAATGTCCCAGCGTTGTTGCTCAGACTCTGGTGTCATTTGTTGAAGTGATGTCCTGACTTCAATGATCCACTGTTGCATTCAGAATTCAGGCCTTGGAAGAGGCCATGCAAAGATGGACCAAACCGATGCAGGGTGAGAAAAAATATGTTCAGCCCATCCATTTCATGGGAAGGACCTATGACTCAGATTTGTGTTTTAGGGTTGTGGTGGGTAGGGGATGGTGTCTTACAGGTTGCCTCTGACAACAGCCCCACTGCCAACGCTGGCAGGTGGAAGATGCGGCTGCTGCCACCAGCAGCCACCGATGGTGTTGTTGGGGTGATCGTGGAAGTGGTGGTGGGAGTGTGCTGGAGGGATAGGAAGCTGTCAGCCCACATGTTCAAGAATTGATTTCCAAATACCCCCCAATCCATTGCAATTCCTTTCTGGGAGGAGTCCAACACCCGGCCCGGGCATCCCCAAACACCGCTCGTCACATCGAAACCTGAACTGCACCTCGTCCAGGCGCTGCAGGAAGTCCAGAATCTCGGAACCTGTTTGGGAAAGATCCAAAGACACCGGAAACACTTGCAGAAACGGTGTGAACGATAGGTTCTCATGGGCTTCGACACCGTCGACCGGTCGGCGCGGTGCGCCGGCGAAGGCGAAGAAGAAGCGCCGGTGGAAGGCACCCGAGTCGACCGGGTCACCGGAGAACAGGTGGTGTTTGTTGGTGAAAACAGAGGTGAATTCCTGGACTTCGGAGAGTTTGAGGACCTGAAGAGTTGAGGACCTGGAGAGTTGATTCCAAAAACCTTTGGACTTGAGGACCTCGACTTTGGAGATTCGTTTCCTCCAAGCTGGATTCCTGGGTCGAGCTCAATGAAGGAGACCGTTCAGTCATTCAGGTGGTCCGTTCCATGTTGGTTGGACATGCCATGGATGTACGTGCATGTTGAACTATGCAACAGTCTTGTTGTGCGTGCAGCTGCCTTGCAACGATCTCAAAACTCTTGGTATAGCTTCCAATGACCAAAGACTCATGTGCCCAAATTGGAGTGAACTGGTTTGAGGTGGAGAGGAGAAGGTTCGTCACATCCACACTTCAGAATGTTGGAGTAGCTATAGACTACGATAATGTGTATGTAGTAATTATATGTATACATATATAACTAATATATATATATATATATGTATATCCACTTAGAGATGGTCGAACTCTGTTCCCGTCGCAGTGCCAGGCATTGGTTTGGCAGCTTTCTTTCACTGTTGGTGGTGATGGGTTCGGGGCTCTGCCACTCTCTGCTTCACGTCAATCCCTCTGAAACTCAGGTTCACATCCAACATGTTACTCACCCTTCACTTCACATCCTGTTGCCCATCCCACCAATGCCAGTCACAGCACACTCCGCCACATCGGCTGGTGGACTGGGATGCTCGGCCACCTGCAAATGGTGATGGCGGGGTTCATAGAAACGACGCAAGAAAAAACGGAAAAGTAAGCGGTGTAGCCACCAGAAAACTAGAGATTCTGGAATAAACTGCAAGTGATGCGGCAATTTGTTGTTCGTGTACGTTCATGTGTCTTTTCCTATTCAAGCAAATGTGCTAGGGACTCCTGCCTCAAAGCTCTACAACATCTGAACCATTTGGGAGTTCATAAGGTGTTGTCCAGTGCCGCTCCACAGGACAGGACCTAGGCTTTAAATGGTGGATGCCGAAGGCCTACTTGACCGATTCCGCCTCCTTCAGGAAGGCCTCCATCGCCTCGTCTGGGAGAGACCCTGGTGCCTGTGGACGGATGTCTGGCATAGACTCATTCACCGATGAATGTTGTCAAACAAACGTGACAACTTGTAACTGCCAAGGTCTGCCAAGGTGGGCACAGGTGGGAGCAATATCAGGAAGCACTCTGGTCCGCAACGAATGGGAGACCATCTCCAATGCTTGAATAGAATTCACTTGGGTGCCAAGATTGGCACTACCAACTGATGTGAACAGATATCAAGCATCGTTGATCATTACTCCTGACTTTGTTGACATGTGATGCATCTTTCTGCCTAGCAGCCACTGGGAGAACAGTCCTAAGAAGACCACAACTCGCGTGTCAAAGTCTACAAGCACATCCCAAGGGCCTAAGTCCTGGTTTTAGGAGGCGTCACTAGCGCTGCACCGTTGGAAGTCAGCTTTGGAAGGGTCCATGCTGGCATCTGGCAATGTTTGCTAGCGCGGATCTAGCGCAGTGCTAGCGCACGGCTAGCGCATTTTTTAAGCAGCTACTTTTCAAAACCTGACGACCTTCTGAACATGTCGTAAGTCAAACACTAGCGCAAGTCTACCGCAAACCTAGCGCCCAGCTGCAGAATGGTTGTGTTTAGCTGGGGGCCCGCTACATAATCTAATTGAAAAACAACATCATAAGCTACTTGCGACTTTTGGCCGGACTCCATATACAGTAAGTTCACCATACGAAAACAAAGGTCTTAATGCTAGCTGCTAATGCCTCAGCGCTTGAAAGGAACCTGAAACAGGCGCTGGTTTTACATGACGCTCACCGACCGCGCCTCCGTCATGACCGCAGCGTCCGCCGTCGCGGGCACGGTCACCTGGAGTGATTGCCAGTGGTTGCCACAGAGTGACGGGTAAGCAACGGAAAGCAACAAAGTGTATACATTCGACCTTGGAAGACTGTTTCCTCTACTTTCAACAAATCTTGAATGTATACTTTTGGTCGCTTGAGGACCTACCAACTCCTGATGGCAGAAGTATTGTCATGGTGTTTATGTATAGATCCTGAAATATCAAAAAGTGTAAATTGTCAACCAACTTATCTGGCTGTATCTGTCCCCAGTCAAACAACTTGTCATGTGTGGCAGTAGCCAACCGACAAACCCAGTTGGAGCACCTCCAACTCTTCCTGCTGATCCCTCTGCTGCTCTGGCCTCGGCCTCGGTTGGAGATTGGAGAATTGTTGCTTCGGATGGGCGGATGGATAAATAGGTGGATGGAGGGAGGGATTTGTGACTGTGACTTGTAACAACAATTTTCTGGAACTTGACAGCTTCCTGAGAGGTAGGTTGTTCATCCAGTTTTCACAGTTCGCGCCGTGGTTGCAAATAACTGCTAACATCAGCTAACCACTTCTATCATCATCTATATCACTCTCCCCTGCACTACCCTGCAGGTCAATCCGCTCCCGTCTGTTTGGTTGTGATGCTGCAGCAAGCTCGTGGTGATGATCTGCTTTTTTTGTTCCCACGAGCAAGCAACAGAAGACCAACAAACCACTACCCCATAATCAATGACGACACAACCAATGGCAAAACCGGCCGGATTTTTGGACCAAGGCTACTTGCGCTGACAAAGTCAGCTGTATTATGATGGTGCAGGGTCATCATGGGGCTGTCAGCAACCACTAGCCGCGAACCAATCATGCAGCCACTCCAGTCACCAAAAAAAAGAAGCTGAGCTCCAGGCTTCTCAGAACTCAAGCCTCATGCCGGGCTGGTGGTCACCATCTCACACAAGAAATAAACATCCCCAAGAAGTGTCAGGAACTTGATGGAACAAAAAGGCGAGGACTGACCAGCTTGATCTGCTTCTGCAGCTGTTCCACTGGTCAACAACTCTCTTTCACCAAAAGTGCCCTGCCAATGCCTCACGAAAACGGACTGACACAAGGTAAAATGTGGGGCAACTTAATTACTGTAACAGACCAAAACATTGGGTGACTGCATCCCACCAGCCTCACGTCTAGCTGACCTACAGGAAGCTATAGTTCTTCCTCAAAAATATCTCACAAGAAACACCAGCCCCAGCCCCCTCTGAGACAGCTCTCAGTCTGGTCAACCGGTTGGTTGCTGGGTGCCCTGGAGGTTAAGCTCCAACGCTGCGGCAGACTGGCCGACTGCGGCGGACTGAGGCGCCCGGGCCGAGATCCAACTGGGCCTCCTGCAGGTCGATCGGAGCCATGGGCACCTCGCCGCACCGAACGGCAATAGGGATGGATGGGCGGAAAGAGCATGAAAGAGGCAACAGTCCTGGGGGAGTGTCAAAGGTTTTGGGAGGCAAAAGTACACATATGTTTGATGCTTGTCTCGTCTTTGGATCTGAGTTGGGTGTCATTTTTGAGCTTGTGGGGTGTTTTTCCGATGGCTTTGGGTTTGGGGATGATATGGCCTTCAAATTTGTGGTGGGTTAAAACAAAACCTCCAAAAGCAAGTGTATGACATTGACATATGAAGCAAGCGATGTGAAGTCAAACGTCACAAATTTGCTGCTCTCTCTCTCTCTCTCTGCACACTCCGAACAATGCGAATACAACAAATCAAAAAGAACCTGCCAGGGCACCACCTGCCCCTGCCGCTGCAAGCGCCGCAGGATGCGCTGATGCCTGAGGGCCAGGCCAGGAGTGGTTGCTGTAAACGAGTGGCGGATGGATGAGGAATCTACATGTTAGAGTGAACCCTGGCAAAAGGACATCTGAAAGTGGTCATTTTAGAGGCAATGGACTGGAGACGAGAGGAATATGATGGAATATGGGCTGGTATGCTGCCTCAAAATCTTCAAACAGAACCTTCCGGGAAAAAGGTTTCCTATAGAAAGGTGTCCATACCAACGGGGAGTTGGTCAGTGACCGGAAGGAAGTATCTTGGAGTGAGGTACTCCCCACTCAAGATCAATCATCCGTTTCCCATGCATGTCCATCGGACTGGTTACATAATCGAGTATCATTGCCGCTGCTTCCGAGTAGACAATTGGCAACATTGTTTAGGTCCCCAAGTATGAACCCCAACAAGGCGGCCCTCATTTACTGTCAATGGATACCCTCCCCCCTAACATTGTAAACCACTCACTCATGCAACCAGGAAACCCTGAGTCCCCAGGATTTTGCTGCAACATCACGTAGTTATCACATAGCCATCATGATCCCTAGCCATCATGTTGGATAGCTTCTTTATGTATCCCTAGCCATCCTGTTTTATCCCAACTTCTCAACTTCAACGGTGTCCGGCAACTATCCCGCTTGCACCATCTGCCAGGTGGCGGTCGTAGCTCCTCCTCCGGCGCACCACCCTTCTGCAACCTGGCATAAGTGGTTTCTTGTGATGATCCGTCTTAGTCTTAGTCATACATGTGTTACCACAATAAAATAGTTATATACACTTATACTATGCATAAATATATATATATATGTTACATATGTGTTTATTTCATATTATTATATATATATATATTAGTAGTTTCCATCAAATTGTGAAAAGGCAAAAAACGCTCATCTCCTCAGCTTGCTTGGACGAGACCCCCTCGAGTTGAACGACGGTCCTTACGAGACGCCATGGACGCGGCGTGCGCCTCGCCTTTCGAAGAGATCCTTCGCGCACTGTAGGGCTGCTCGGACCTGGCCAGCGCGCAAGGTCCGTTGAAGACTCAGTGCAGGAGACATCAACTTTATACTCTTGGACCCTTAGCCCTCTTTGTTTTTTTCTTTTTTTTACTATATATAAGGGATTTACTACCAAAACCCTAAAGGTGAAACCTTTAGCAGAAGATGCAAGGACAGGCAAGAAGACAAACACAGACTGGGACCTGGGAGAGTCTCGGATTGAGGGAGAAGCAAGAGAACACATGGGACTGCCTTTGGGAGCAAGGGAGTAGAAACTTCATTTGCAATGGTCCGTTTGTGACCTCATTGCCTGCAGGATCTCGCGACGTGTCTCCGCAGGATCTCCCACTTTGTAAAGAAGATCAATATTATAAATTCGTACTGGTTTTAATAAATAATATAAATGATCTTCTTTACCTTAACTATTGATCTTCTTTACAATTTAATAAATAATATAAATGTGTTAATACGTTATGACCTTTAACACATTCTGTGATTTTTGATCCGGGACCAGACTTCGGTGCCCGCAGTCGACCTCGCTACGGTCGACCTCGGTTGTGCACGAGTCCTCACTCGTCTGACGAGTCGGGGCGGACCACTGCCCTCATGGGTGACTCGTCTTCCCAAGTGGTGACTGACATGTGTCAACCTTCGCCAGCTGAGTCCTGCTTGGGTTTCCTCTTTTCTTCGGGTGTTCTGGGGAGGACCCCAACATCATGTTTGCCTAAAAAAGAGGCCCGGCCAGGCCTCTCGCCAGCTGAAGACATCGAGAGCTGCACCTGGATCGACATCGTCTGCAGGGAGGAAGAACCAAAGCACTGGAGCGCGGGTGAGTCGACTGGTGGCCAAACCAAGACCTGGTTGATTCATGATGTCTCGGATTGATCATGGATTTCAGGATCAAAGTGGGTGATTCAGTGTTTGCTTGCTTGCTACACCGCTACACCTCCTCTCGTTTGCTTGCTACACCGCTACACCTCCTCTCGTTTCAAAAAGGGTTAAACTGTTGACCCCACCATGTTGGGCAATCGAAACGCTTCGAAGGCGTCCCCCAGGCTCCCGGGCTTTGGAAGACCCAAAGGACGAACATGCAAGCGTACGCTTTGGCCGGAGACAGGCCTGGGACAACGACCACGCCCGGCCGACTGCCACAGGCGACGGTCTTTACTCGCATGGCAGGGACAGCCCCGGTCGACCAGCCCAGGTGTTCTCCGGTGTCGGTCGCCGCGACTGAGTTGACCGGGCGATCTGTGGACATGAAGAGCGACAGCCTCAGCCCGGGCGCCGAGAGTGGGTGCCTTTTGACGAAGAAAGCCATGCGAATGCAAACATATCAAAACAATTCATAACATATATCATATAGTAAATAGTTAATAAATAGTTATTAAACAACATCCACACTGCACTTTATTCAAATTTTGTTTAAAGGATTTTCTTGCATTCCACCGAGTAGCTTTGTCCCACTGTCGAAGGTACATCATCTTCGATTCAACACTGTCCCCCGAGTACCAAACGCTTTTCGACAGCTGGATCGAACTGATTCCATGTCCTGCTCGACAGCAGCCCCCGCCCGACAAGTTGTGAGCAGCTAGCAGCTAGCTGTTCTACAAAGCTGGACCGGCTGTTCTATCGTGCTCTATCAGGTTCTATCTATCTCTACTCTGTCAACAGGGTCAACATATTGATCATTTAAGCATTGAAGTTCATGGCAGTTGCGGATTCCAAGGCAGGCCTCGACTCTCTGTGTTGCTCTTGAGCATGAAAGGCAGGCACTCAGACGACCACCGGTTGCTACCACAACAGACTCATGATTGTTGTTGCTCCACCACCTCACTCAGTGCCACAGTGCCCTGCACATCCCTGCACGCCTTCTCCACCTGCTCTCCCCACCTTCTCTCCCCCTCGCCCCCGGCACCGGCGCTTTCAGTCCTTGAGCTGCCAACACACTTCCGCTAAGCCTCGGTGGGCTCGGGGCGAAAGGACAAAAGGTGGCCGGGACGGGCAGGTGGCCGGACGGTGGGCGGTTTCCGTTGGACGATGCTTGCCTTCCGCTTCGGTGTTTGGTTGTTTTTGGTCTCATTCTTCAAGTCAAAAGCCATCCGCTTGACATCTGTGAAGATGTCTCACGGACGTCCCAAAAGCACAAGTCACAAGTCATCTTTAAAATTCACTCCGGCCGTGGACTCAATGCAATTGACCCTTCGGTTTCATTGGTTGAGAAGAGGAGGAGTAGTTGATCAATCAAGATCCCACATTCACAAGGTCTCCAGGGCTCAAGCTTAGAGAATGGTTTCCAAACAACTGCAGAACAAATGGTCTTTTCCAACCCAAACTTCAGGTTTCAATTTTTTTCCGTTTGAACCCCGCCAAGCTCGGTCTTTCTTGGACCAGTTGCAAGTGTAGATGCTCTCAGGGCTGGAGCTACACGAAGGCCACCTGACGACAGCAAAGGCCAGCGCTGTCTTCGCTGGGCGAACAGTCGAAACCCAGGCCGTCAGATGGTCCAACTACCATCAACTACCATCGTAGACGTGGCATGTAGAGATCACAACACCACATAAACGTAGCCTCGACGTCAAAGTCATCTTCAGTTCGTTGGATCCCTAAGCATTTGTTGGCCTCGCAAGTGAACTTGTTTTAATGCAGCCCTTGGCTTCTCAGTTGTCCTTACAGGTTGACGTGGTTCTGGTGGGATGATGTAGGATGTGTAGGATATATCAGGCCAAAGAATGTGCTGGACTTGTCCGTGTTGATGCATAAACCATCCAAATTGGAATGCCCAACATGGAGTCATTGACATACTGTTTGAGCTAAGATTAAGATCTTAGCAAAAGGCATCTAGCAGAATGCACGACCACGGAATCCTCATCCTCAGCGCTCCCGAATGCACGACCCTGGAGGTTTTTGTGCAGTTTTTCGGCGTCCAGGCACCTCTGCCATAAGTCTTCACAAGCCTTCAAACATTTCCTGGGCGTTTTCTGGCAGAGATGGGTGACAAGGAGCAGGGCGTTTTCATTTGTTTTTACGAGTCCCTGTGGTATGGGTGATTGACCTAGTCCTACAGGCACCGCGCATAAGCCCACAGGAGGGGAGCGAAACACCAACTCCGTATGGGGGGGGTCCAACTCCATGGTTTGATCTTGGACGCGCTGAATAAAACATAGCAAACATAAAGACATTTCCCCCCCAGAAAAAATGGGGGCTCACCCAGCTCTGGAAATGTTTCATCACTGCAAAGCCAGGCTGATGGCCCTTGTTTGATGATGTTTGATGGTTCCAGTGATGTCCTTTTTTAGAAAAATAGAGTGATCGATGTGGCACCATATTACTATACTATATATTTGCATCATACATCATATTATATTTGTATATGTATACCACCAAATATCAGCTGGTCACTGGTGATTTGAACATGTTTTTCTAAGCACTTGGTCCTTTTTACTTTGAGTTGCTGCAGCAAACTTTGTTTATCCTTGATTCCCTGATGACATTCTATTACCAAATTGGAGGTCCTTGGGTTCATAATTTATGCGTTTTGTTGATGCATAAACGTGGTTGCATTCTGTAAGGATTTTTGCGTGTCGATGTTTGGACGCCAATGGGCCCTCGATTTCTTTGTAAATCCTTTTCGTGCCAGAATGATCACACATATTTTGTGATCAATGAAATTTGCGGTTTGGGGACTTGATTTTGTAAAGATTGGGCACTGCTGGCCCTTACTACAACATGATTTATTTGCGTTTGCCCTCCTAAAATGTTCCCTACAGAATGAGTGAAAAACAGATAGGAACAGCTGCTAAGCTAATTAACCCTGCAAATGGCATTGAATTTGAGACCAAGACTTGGACTAAACAAAATTTGGAACATATTGTTAAACAAACACTTGGTGTGCTCAAGTTCTGGTTGAAGCCAATTCCAAAATTTGGATTCACCAAGATTTGGAACATGTTTTAACCAAATCTTGGGCACATCCAATTTTGTTGAACCAACACTTGGGTACACCAAATTTTGGATGGAGGGTTTGGTTTGGCCCTGGAACCTCATTTTGTAGCATGTGCCTTTTTTAATAGAGGGGGGTGCATTATTTATCATTTTGTAACAAAAACATACAAAAACAACTTGAGAACCCACACTTCTGTAGGAATGTACAGGGGGCACACATTTTATACGCAACCTTATATACACAGTGTTCTGCAAAGGCGCCTGCTTTGCATACCCTCTGCCTGCCTCATTTGCGCTGTCTAGCGGACTGTCTGGCTGTCTACCCCCTGCGGCGCCTGGCTCTACTGGCTGGCTGCCTCTAAACAGGCTACGCTGGCTGCAACCTACTAGCACTGTGCGACGCCCTGCGTGGAACTGACTTCTCTCTGGAGCTGCCTCTACTGCAGCTACTTGGATTCAATCAACATCATTAGCATTGGCTAATCATAAATGCTGCTAGCTGCAACTATACCATTGTGACGACCTTGTGAGAAGGGCCCTCCACTTTTAGCAGGACTCTCTAAATCAAATTTCCTTACGTGGACCTATCCGTGCATGGACAGTTATGTGGACCCCCTCCGTCCCACGTGGAGCCCTTTGGACCCTAGTGGACCCTACCCGCCCCATCCTACGTGGAGCCCTTACGTGGACCCTCTTACATCGACCTAGCTAGGTGGACCCTCTTATAACAACACACCCTACTTGCGTTCCTTACGTGGACCCTTCCCCTAGCTAGGTGGACTCCTTTCCTAGACGTCCCTGTACATGGACCCTCCACGCGTGGACCCTCCATACGTGGAGCCCCTTACGTGGACCCTCTTACGTGGACCCTACCTAGCTCTTTACGTTGGCCCTCCTTACATGGACCCCCTGTATGTGGACCCCCCTTACGTGGCTACCATCGGCGCGATCGGCTCCTCTTTTGCGCTGGCTCTTTCTTGGGTCGCGTGAAGTCCGAAGGACTGCATCGGACAGCGAATCGAATGATTATATAATTGTCCATGTCAATGTAACATTTTGAAGGCTGAAGGGTCAGCGCTGCTGGAAATCCAGCAAGGGGGGAGTGGAAGAGATACTGTTCACTCTTCACTCACTCTTTGAGGTTGAAGTTGAAGGTCATAGACTCATAGACCATGAATCCAATCCATGAAGCCATACTATGCCGCTTACTGAAAACTCATTTTTATGCTCTGAAAAGACCGTGTTCGCACTCCGTGACTCAAATATAATGCACAAATGTATGTATGACTGGCCCGCTAGAAAAAAACAAAAGTAAATACTGTTACTGTTATACATGTTTGTACATGCGGCATACACTGATGCACAACCCCCACCTGTGGAAATAAACAACATGCCTTTGGAGATGTATAACCACAGCACAAGCCCAACAAAACACGCAAACCAGCCAATGGCTGAGAAATTCAAATAACAATTATAAACGTAAATAAGACATCTTCAACAACTCAAAGTAAAAAGGACCAAGTGCTTAGAGAAAAAGGCTCAAGTCACCAGATTCAATCTTTGGGGGGTGTATCCCCGTCCCATCAATCAACCGTTGGGGCGTAGGTCATCCATCTCACCGGAAACCGAACAGTGCAGTAACCGGGGCGAACAGTGGTCTAGCTCGGGTGTCGAAGCAGCAAAGCAAGGCAGGTGGAAGGTCAAAGTAGAAACTCTTGTGAAGTGTCCAAAGAAGCCCCTAATGATAGTTCTAGGTCACTGGTGAAAATGGTTCAAACTAGCGAGCGATACTAGGTCACCGTAGTTCTCCTGAATGTTTCAGGTGCCCCAGTGCCTCTAGGCCCCGTTGGTCCCGTTGGTCCCTGACCACTATCAACCAGACTTCAATTCGGAGAACCCGCTGGTGGTCAGCTAAGAAAGGCTTTCAAACATATCATGTTTCATGGTTGAAGAATGGTTGAAGACTATGGACAATGGTCGTCAACACAATTACGCTTTGGTATGCTTTGTATTCTCTGGAACACTTTGTTGATTCAGTTTTGATAGACCAAGTTCCAGTTTTCGTGTTGTGCTTGCCTTATGCAGAATGGGGATGCCTAGTGGATTCCTCCAAATCCATGCTGACAGCACCTCTCCCCTCTCCATCCTCCAAGCATCTCTGACGTCTGCAGGTCCCACTGCGCCGTCTCCGTTGACGTTGCCTTGGCCGCCTTGGCCGCCGCGCGCGCGGCCTCCGCGACAGTGAACAGCCGCTGGAAGCGGCTGGTGGCCCAGGCAGCCTCCGAGGACGGATGAGGATCGATCTCCAGATGGAAGGTATTCTTTTTGGTGGGGACTGATATATCTCCGACCGATCTAGCCTCTATATATTATAACCCGGTGCCCAGATTTGGGGAGCAGCGTGAAAAATGGCGCAGGGTTATGCAGGGTTGGGAAGTCCAAACGTCCATGAAATTGTTTAGGGTGTTCAACATGCTGTTTGTGACCTTCAGATTGGTTAGCAGCAGCTTCCAAAGAAACGCCGGTTGAAAAAGCCCATAGATCGGGGTCCATCGGAGCTGTTCTCAAAAACGAGAAACCGATCATCCGATGTCATGCCCCCCGCTGAGACAAAGGGTTTTGCACAGGTTGTAAATTTACTGTACACTCACTCTTCAACAACATGAACTATAAATGAATGAATATTAATGAATCATAGTGTTGTTCTAATACATTCCACACGTTGGTATCAGCACTGTTTATTGTTCTCCAAGAAAAGCGACACCACCGGTGACCCGTCCTGGCAGGCTCGGCCCGGCGGGCGCTCGGGGCCCGGCCCGTCCAGGTGGAGTGACCCGTGGCCTCAGGAGCTGAATTGGAGTCTGCTAGACCGTAGACCAGTTTGGAGGACAGGTCTCTGGTAGAAGGACAGGTAAATGAAGACCTTTTCCTTTAACAAAAATAATAAACTGTGAGCAAGAAGGAACACATATAATTAGATCACGATATAGAAAAATCTGTGAGACCTGAAGCTTGCTTGAGAGCCCAAGTGGTGCCTCAAAATCCACTCCTGGTAGAGCTTGTTATCCACAAAAGCAAGGATTTTAGATGTATTGAACTCTCACTTGTTGACTGATTCGGATGTTCGATCATGGAACTCAGGAAGTCGTGCTCGGTCGCCGCGATTCAAAAACAACCTGCAGAGATTGCACGGTCAACGTGGTCCAACACATGATCACTATCAGCGTGGCCACGATGCCCGTGTCCATGCTTGATCCTCACTGCGTGGCCACTGGGGGAGTCACAAAAGGCGACGGCTTAATATCACCCACTCCACACATCGCCAGTCCCAGGCCAGTCCCAGTCCCACTGCACCTTCGAACTGCCGCGCCAACGCGCACCAGTGGGCGCTCTGCCGCCAGTCGCTCCGCTGCTGCTCGGCCAAGCGGTTGCAACACGCGGCGCCGAAGAGGGCCAAGTCCTCTCTGCCGAGGCCCGGCGAAGGCGTGGCCCCAGGCCTGACGACAGGGCCAACAGGCCCCATGCTGGGTCAATAAAAAATTGAATATATCAAGCACTAAACTCATTGGGGATCGTGCCATCTGAAACCATCTGAATCGACTGTGACATGATGTGTTTTGCTTCGACCCACAGCCTAGAGACACAGGAGGCTTCCAAGGGTCCATTCATGGCTGCAGCCAGGTTGCTGGCCCAGATCACTTGCAGCGTTGAGCAGCTCCTGGTCTGAAGCGAAGGCTTGCTCATGCACCTGTGCGATTGCGTGGATGCGTGTGTGAAGCAAGTCATGAATGGACTGCCAAAGCTGAGAAGTAGTGGAAGCTTCTTCAGACTGGTCAGGAATTTGTAACAAACGGACCTGGCCGAACCGAATGTGCAAACCGGCCATGTCTCGCATCGCCACGGAGTGACCTGTTTTTCGACTGCGCGTGCCTCCAGCAAGGTGCAAACCTGAGGCATCGGACACCCATCTGGGTTTGAATCAAATGGGTGCATGGGCACCTATTTGTGTGCATTGCACACCATTTTTCTGGCTCTGAGAGGACGTGAGTGAAACAAGTCTTCAATCGTTTCCGTGATTTCCTTGTATTTCCTTTCATACAGTCATACAATAATGATTTCCTCTACCGAAAAATAAGGATTCTATTCCATGTTCATGTCATGTGTTTCGAAAGGAGTTAGAAGCTCCAACAACCTGTGAGATGAATACACCACATGCCCAGAACAGCGAAGACCAACACTGGATATGTTTCAATTAGTTCCAATCCCCCAACGCCCTCGGGTTCCAACACGTCGCCACAAAAGTGGGCGCCGAACATCAGCCTGTGAACTGAACCAACAGCGCCGCATGCGACCGGTTTTGCTAGAGGGCCCAGCACCGTCAGCACCGTCGACAGGGCGCCGAACGGCGACGCGTTTGGGGCACCGCACTTCAGTGACCGCCTCTTCGTAGTGATGCGAGTGCCATTTTTGCCAGAGTTCTCTGGTCGCCATGGCATCTCCAAAACATGAGGGAAAGAGTGATGCCTCCCGCGGAAACAAAAGGGTAACATCATGTAACATCTGTCATTCATCTGGACATGTTCTCATGCCCAACAGATGTGCGACTTCGAAGTTCTGATTATATATCTGAATCTGGTGAGGTTGGTGGGTCGACTTGTTCATGAATAAATTTGACCATCATGTCTGAACCATCGCTGTGAATACTGGTGCTGGGCGCAAACATTGGGCCCTGCATTAGCATGACTGAAACCTTGGCCACCTTGCTTCGACCGCAGGATCACGGGCGGTTAATTCTATGTTATCACTGCAGCTGCCCAAGCAGCCGATTGCACATGCCTGGAGGCGATGTGAATGTCTGCGACTGATCTACAAGGTCTACTAATTAGTCTACAGTAAAACCTACATCTCATGACTCATGCCACACACGTGCAGGATTTTCTCATCAACAAACACCTGGGACTTGTGCCCAAGGATTCAAATCTCTCATTGGTGCCTGGCGCCGTCCGCGCGGTGCAGGCGCGGCGCGCGTGGCGCAGATAAGGGGCGAGGGAAGGTCGTTTCACATTCTACCAGTGTGCTGCTCAAGCTTTGCTGAAAAACTTGATAGATTACTGTAATAGATTACTGATGATTACTGTCATAAGAGGGTGTTTTACGCAACGTATTTGTTTTAACGCACATCTGCAGTTTCTACTTATTAAGCGGCATGTGGGTGGAACTAGGCTGCTTTGCTGCCGCCAATGGAGCCTCAAGAGTTGCGAGGCTCCGCTGCAAGAGGTCGAAGAGGAGACAGTTCTGCGAGCCACTGAGCCCACTGTTGATGTTGATTCCACACAGCCATCGTGAAACTCCGGGAGGCACAGTGGAAAGGAAGGATTCAAGTGCCAAATCCAATGGGTTAGCTTTCAGACTTGCAGAGTCCAAATCCAGTCAGTAACCATCAAGTTTTATAAGTCAATCATAGGATCTCCGCCAATTTTGACCAAGTGTGAGCGTGAAGAACTCTTGACCCACTTGCTGGGGCTCCGGCAGAATAAACTTCCGGACAATGCGAATGTACTGCATGTTCTACAGGTTGATAAACCTCGGTGGCCGTTGCAACTTTGGTTGACTTAGCCAACCAGCCCAACACGGCCCGTCAAATATATGGCCTACATCCTTGATCATCAGTGCTGCCAACCTTGAGTAGCTTAAGCCGCCGACAAGTCAAAGTGTGGCTTCCCACTATGAACATGTTCAATAAACGTTTTAGCTTCAACTACGACTAGGCACATGACACCCAGTCGTCTTTTATACGAAGCTTTCCTTCGCGGTCGGTCGCCACCTGCCGTCGCCGTCCTCTCAGGACTTCACAGTTACCACGGGCACTTCCCGCGCGGACTGCGCGAGCGCGAACGACACTCCTGGCATGCAGCGACGAATCGAAGGGGAGGCGGCCAGAAGTCCAGAAGCGGCGAAGACGACAACAACAATTGATCACCAAACAAAACAGTAATGAGGTGCTTGAATGGTGAACACACGTGAACACCACTGTGTCAGGTGTCTTTTTAGACACTTTTAGAAAACCGTGAACACAAAGTAATAAAAGATGTAATCAAACACCAAAAAGACAGTTCTTGTTCGGCATGCGAAAAGAAAACTGCAAAAGAAAGGAACACCATGACTTAGGACACCCTTGCGGGCACCGCAGCGCTTCTTCCAAAGCCTTTTCATCCCGTTTGGGGACAGCCGATGTCGCGTGATTGAGTCGGCTCCTTCTTCTCGTCCGATGCCTGGCTGTAGAGAAGATCTGGATGGCTGGTTTTCAGCGTTGGATGGATGGTGCTGCATATGAAGAGGAGGAGATCGCTTAAGTACTGTATATAACATTGCAACAAACCGTGCCCTCACATGACTCATCAGGGGAAGACCGGAAGGAGATCAGTCTTCCTTTGGTCTTTGGTAACTTACCATCCCTCCAAACATGGAAGGGGATGGCCTCGCCGCCTCGCCCAGGGTGAACTCAGTGATTGTTTTGCAGGCAAAGAAGTCCAAACAGTCCAAACAGTCCAAGCAACATGACCGGTACTTCAGCTGTTTGGAGCGTCGGTCATGTGGCGATGCGGTCTGAAGTGACTGAGGATTGCAACATCTCCCTGGGTCCCTTCCGTGGCCGGTGGGACGCCCACGACGCCCACGTCCCAAGCACTGACCAACTGGATCATCGAGGAACCATGAAAACCCATGTGTCGAGGATCCGAAGCCAAACCCAAACAGCTTGAAGTTGAGCGATTTGCGATTTGCCGCAGCGATTATTTTTCAGGTGGTATGCGCATCTGCATGCGTGGTTGCCTTCGACTCATGTATTGCCATGCTATTTCTTCGGCCGTGTGTTCTTGTGGGATCTGGTGAAGGTTGTATTTTGAAATATTTTGCCCCATCACCCGCAAAATTGGTGCCAATTTGAGCCGGCCCTTCAGCAGGAACTGGTCTTCTTATTCTTGGAAGCCAGAAATTCCTTTCTAGGTATGCAGGTAGAATCATATGGCCGTAGACATGCTGACCCAGTCAAATCCCGTCCTGAAAAAACCTCATTGAGTCGTATTGGTCCCGACCAGCTCCAGCTCCAATGAGATCCCAACTGACCCAGAGGTCGTGCTTTCGGAGCGTTGGCTGTTCAGGCAACAAAACAACACAGTTCGTTCTTCTCTGAATGCTTCTGTCTGGTAAAACACCAAGTGCGGGGCTCGCGGAGTGTGTTCCTCTGAACTCTGCCTTTCACTCGTCACTCGCACCTCCCGCTTTCAGCGGTCGCTCCCAAACTCCCTTCCTCCATCGGTCGCTCCGCAGTATCCCACCATATGTCCGTACGCAACATCTGGGATCGTCCGCAAGAGTCCATATCCTGAGTAAGATAGTATCATAGCAAATATGGAGCAAGGAAAAATTTCAGACCACAACCCAAACCAGAATCTTGTGAAACATCTTACTTGGCCGACCAGAACCAGATCCAACCAGAACCTCCGCCCCACCTGACAGGCTTCCAGTACCACCTCCAGTTCACCGCCGTACTCTGTGCGCCAGCCAGTCCTGGCTGGAGGAAGCTGCTCCAACAATATCAATTTGAAAATTGATTAATACTGTACAGATTTGGTGGATGTGTATTTCTTGAAACCCTCCCGAAAGATGCCTTCAATCCAACTCTCTTCAACACACAACTTTGACACCAGCCGTCCCTAAAACCCAAGTGGACGTTTGATGAAAACACACTCCATGCATTCAACAAAATCCAAACATTCACCAGAACCCACTGTCCGGGTGGTTCATGGACACCCCGAAAATACAATTGTATCATGTGGTATTCCATTGTATCCCCTCTTTTCGTGGGCCCTCTTTAAAAAAAAATGGACACATCTCACATCATCTCACAAAGCACCCCGTATTTGACAGGGCAGGAACCCCGTATTCTACGGCACGCCGCCGTTCGACGCCTCGGAGGCACGTCCGTGTCCGACTCGGCGTAGAAACACTCCCCCCCCGGACCTCGGCCGTTCCCGGCGATCGAGAGACCGCGGGGAAGAAGGAAAAACGAGAGTCGTAGACGGTGGAAGATCTCGGGTCCGGTGTTCCAGATCGGAATTGAAGCAACTACGTTATAAGCTAGAAAATAGGTAGAGTGTGAGTCTCTTGGATCAGCTAGCAGCTAGCCAGATCCAACAGCTGGTATCTCCTAGATATGAGGTACTGTCAAAGTTTGTTATGTGGGCTAAGGTCATGGCAATTTGGTGAGTGTACCATCGTTTTTCAGGTTTGGCCATTCGTGGTCTGCTTTACACCGATGGACACGTGACACAATGTTCAGGAGCTGCTCTCTGAGCTGCTTGTTGAGGAGCTGGATTCGTTTTCAGAAGCATTTTCCAGCGCTTCCTTTTTTTGGTTGCGCACCTATTTTTTGTTCAATGGATTGTGTTCAATCTTTTTCAGTGCCACTAGAGCATCTACATCGATCTCTCGGGAGGTTCCATCAGGCCCATCAGGAAGCAAAGGGAGGTGTTTCACCATGCGGTGAGAATGTTGTTCTCATCCCGGCACAAAGGCTTGGGGTTCGTGTCCCACCGACCTCTCCCTGCTTCAGTCCAGTAGCCATGAATTCAGGGGCAGTGTCATCTGTTGCTGTCAACTCCAAGCTGGAGGTCAGATCCACTGAAGTCTGCATGGAGGAGAAACATGATCAAAGACTTTGACACCGAACCGCGCCCTTCCAAGCGCTGGCGCAGTACTTACACAGTAGGACTTGGTGATGGAAAACCCTTCTGCTCTCAGTTTGAACCGTTCACTTGCTAGTATCTTTTTGCGGTCAGTATCCAGCAGCACTGCCAAGAGTGGAGCTGGATCTCAAGCTCTTTGCTCTTTGTTGACGTTCACCAGAAAATCTCTCAACTGACTGAGCTCGATGATGTCTACTTGCCGGGCATGTGCAATTTTCATGAACGTTGCAAACAAACTAAACAATCGATCGGCTGCAGACTTCCCAGTGCGTTCTAACTTCTGCTTGCTGCTGAACAGCAACAGCAAACTTCAAGCAGTTGCCCACTGTCAGAAACCAGGTTGATGACTTCCGCGTTTCCGAACCCCCTTCTTTGCTTCATTGCTTCATTGCAAGCTCCAAGCACTGGCAAGAACGAGCTGATGTATGATCCAACATGGAACTCAAAATCAAAACATATGTAATATGTAGTCAGCACTTCTGCAGAATCATTGGATGCTCTCTCAGCAAGCACAGAGACAGAGCCCGAAATGGATATCTCCATGCAGCTGTTAGCGTAAAAATGATTCCCCTGTTCGGGTCGCTCGAGCAGGCAGCGTGAACAGTTCCTTCCAGTCACTGAGAACAAAAAGGTACCCCACCTGCGGTTCTTCCAGCAGCGTCCCCAAATTAGCCTTCGGGTGTTCGTTGGCTGCACGATGGAAAATATATCCATCCAAGAGTTTGGACATTGCCTGAAGCTTGACACCTATAGCCTGCGCCTCCACAGAATTAAGGCCCACACGAAGCCTTGGAAAACCTGTGCCGCGGTGCTTTGGGCATGGACGCTGCTCGCTGTGGTTTTCAATGAAATGGCGGACCTCCCGAAGCTCCAGACCAGGGCGATCTGCCACGCTGGCGGTTGCAGCGTAATCGTCAAACCTTGCAAAATACCCAGGCATGAATTCTTCCAACTTGTCTCTGATCCTTTTCACCAGCCGCTTGGCTTCGGGGAGGACCTTCTGCTTCAGGTCAACGCAGTACACACACATGTCGCTTTCGACCCAAGCAGGTTCGAACTGACACAGGTGCTGCCTCATAACCGTGCGCATTGTGGCAATGGAGATGTTCTCAACTTCCCCGGGCCTTCCATTCCAAATGCTGGTCACATCTCTGGTCAATGTCCTGACTTGCACCCATTCCTCTTTATTCCTGTCAAAGCAAATGCGACTGCTAACTTGGGCGTGGGAAAGACAGCATGGCGAGCACTTTCGCAATGACTTGTGGGTCATCCTTTTTACTTGGCCTGCCTCTAGGCAGTCTCTGGATTGCCTCCTCTTGCGGAGACTGTTGCCAACGTCTTTGCCCCGATCTCTAATCCGAAGCGTGGTGGCATCAGGGAATGGTGCGTCGAACCTCGGTGAAGATTGGAGGCCTTGCAACACTTTCTCACAACGAGGGCAATCTAAAGTCTGGGTGAGCTGCGATCGCAGCAGTTCTTACAAATCAGGCCACTTCTTGCCTGACTTCTCCAGCGCCAGTGAGAGAACCTGCGCCACATCCTTGTCAGAGGCGAACCTCGACAAAAGGTCAACAATCTCTGCTGTGTGACGAGCAGCCTGTCTTGGCAAACTCTGGTCAAGCGGTTGGTAGCCTCGAGCGCTACTCGAAGCAGCTGGTGGCTCTTCCTCTGTAATCTCTGCCTTTAGGCGCTTTGTTGCATTTTCTCCAGTTCTTGCAATGTATGGCTGACTCACTTCACGCGGCAATGGGCTCCACTTACCGGGGAATGAGACGGCTTAAATACTGGTTCGGGCGGGCGGGCTGAAGACTTTCAGAGCGCACTTGACCGGGAGATCCGAGATCCGAGATGGAAAACATAGGGATGGGTGCGGTGGGACTAATTTTGCACCGCAATACTTGAGCCATTGAGCCAGGGGTGTTGGTGGGTAAGCATCTAGACAATAGTTACTTGCATCCAAGTTGCTTCGTACATGTGACTCTAACCACCGGCGCTGTTGCGCTGTTAAAGCACAGCCATCACTCTCTAATGCCATCTTTTTGGTAACTTGCGGTACTCCCGGGCAAGCTGCCCTAGCTTTCTCAACCAATTCTCCACCCTCTTGTGTATCCTCAAGCAGCTGGCGAAAAAAAAGCCTCAGTCCTGCCACGTCTTCCTTTTGCTTGCTCATCTTTCTAGGACAAGCCTTTTGCAGCGCTATCGTTTGATGTGCCTCCTCTTTCTTTAGAAAGTGATTGAAAAAAGCAAGCCAAGCCTCAGGGTGTGGTGCACGCTTCGACACAATGCCTTGAGCTCTGTCACGCTCTCAGCTCTTGATTTCTCAAGAAAGCTTTTCACCGCCAAGAGCTCTTGCAAGTCTGCCCGGCTAGTGATTCTTGCTCCTCTCTTCCCACTGGCTTCCTCGATCGAATACATGAGATCGAGCTTGGGTCATACCAAAGCTAGACTAGACATGTATTTCATTGTATTTTCACTTTGGCCTTGGCCCTGGAGCAAGCAAAGGAACAAATCAACCAATCAAGTTAAGTTTCCAAAATGGAAAGCACCTGAGTTGCGCTATCTTGTAGCAACCGCCGCTCAGTCCACACGACAAAGCCAGGCATAGCTCAAAAAGCCAAGGGCCCTCACTAAATAGCAAGTACCAATGCAAGGCAAACACAGTACCTTAACTATGTTTCATGGTAGCATGTGATATATATATATATATATACATATACATACATGTGTATACGTGTCACAACACTGTCTGTGTGATCGATGATGCAAACTGCAGCCCACCCTCCAGGTTTGGAGCCACATGCCAAGTGGAACAAAAGGCACGATTCAAGTCCAGTCCTGCGAAGGATGTTTAAACCCGGTGAGTGTATTATCGTTTTTCAAGCAAGATTCATGTTTCAGAAATCCCAAGACCAACCCAAGACTACCGTACATGTCCATAAATTTGGATACATCATGATACATCATATGGTGATTCTCTTGGACCAGCAAATCCAGCGTTCGGCCATGCCCCACATGTCTTCAATCCGCCAAACCGGATCAGTCCTGTCCCGTCCTGTCCTCGTGTGCACGAGTACGCCGTGGTATTCTGGTTGGTGGTCACCCTGCACCCCGTGGTTCATTCATGAAAAAAACAAACTGTTTTTGGCCACTCACCAGGGCAACTCGCCCACTTGATCGAGATTTGCAGGTCAACCATACCAAAGGCAGTTAACACCATGAAGAATCCACGATTAGTTACTTCCACAAACACCGGATTTTCCTCGGAAAACAGGCGAACACATGGAACACATGTTCAGAATAGGTGCCCCCCCCTCTTCACATTGATTCCCTTCACCACCCTCTTCACATTGCGGGGCACCCAACGCGCTCGCACCTCCTTTCGGCTCGAGCGGCGCGTTACACACCCACCAGGTGGGCTTCCCATCGCCCGTGGTGTCTGTGAAGGCGATGGACGGGCGCGAGCCCTCGGTCTTGGGCCTCGGTCACGCGCCCTCGGCGTCCGGGAGGCGTCCGGGGGGACTGGAGGCGTCCTTCGCTCACAGGGTGATGGATGGTGATGGTGATCTTGGTGATGGTGATGGTGTGTCTTAGAAAATCTTAGTTTAGGTATATATGTCTTACAAGGCCTCAGGGCCTTTCCACTGTTGGAAGGTGTCAGGGTCCAAATGGTCTGAGTACAAGAATGATCTACACATGTCACATAGGGAGAGAATGGGAGAGACATGTCGCATTGAGGAGAGAACAACTCATAATGCTAAATAGTGTTCCAAAACTGATGTCCAAGTTAGCTCTTTATAGTTCCAAAGCATTCCAAATCAGCATCTTTGGGGGCAGGAATTGGATCAAAGTATCGGCCATAGTAACTAGTAGACCAAAACCGTGTGGGTCTCTTCTTGACATTTCTTGACCACCGCCCAAGGGAAGAGGAGAAACCTACAGACAAACATTATGTTTGACTTTTCCCAACGTTCAAACAGCGCGACATCAACGTCGTCTGCGGCACAGTGACCCCAAGAAGACCGGCTTTCCGTTCTCCACTTGTGCACTCTTCACATACTTCCCGAAAACGTCGTACTCCTGGAGCTGGCAAAGGGTCAGCCATTGAGTCAAGTAACTATAGTGGGTGGGGGACAGCAAACATCTCAAGCTAGCTGATGACGGCTGGTGACTTTCCAGGTGAATGATTGAATTGATCAAGTACCTGCCCAATGAAAACACATGCACTTTTTGACTGTTTCTTGGAAGAGAAATATGTCCACAAAGATTGCCAAATTTAAAACACGGAATTTCCTATGGAATCCCTGTGTCACTGTGGAGGAACATGTCCAATGGCCGTAAATCCTTTGGGGGAGTGAGAATGCTCGTTGGACATGCTCGTTGAAAAGCGCCCAAGCACGACCAGAGTTACGTCAACTACGACGTACAGCTGCACAAGGTACAGCCCAAGAGCTGCCACCAACCGCAAACCCTAAGACTCTTTTTTGAACCAAACACTTTTGAACACTCGGCTGAGCAAAGCATGGGCCATGCTCGGCTGTGAAATTCCTTACCAATCTCTCCTGACATAATGCCTTTTAGATCTGTTAAGGTAGCGCCCCTTGCTTCCAACATCATTTGAGCTGTGCGGCGATTTTACCATTCTGAATGCCTGGTGAATCACCATGAATCACCCTCATTTTGGGCTACCAGCTTGTGTATGTTACAGTAAGTGATATTTTCCCTAGAAACCATCTGGCTAGTGCGAACTTTTCAAAGGGAATCAATACGGTACCTGTGCAAGAACACACACAGAAAACACATGCGGAATCTTTGAGATCTTTGAGATATAGTTGACATTACACAATTAAAATACTATTATCTATTACAACAAATATCTATTAAATTACTATTCTACACAATTATAAATACAATTAATGTCTCTTAAACAAAGAAATAGTATTTCGTCATCACACATCCGCGCCACGGTCCATGGCCAAGTCTTCCGAGCCCTTGAGCTCGAAGGCTTCATCGCCCTGGTAGTCTCCATCAAAGTCCTCGGCGATGAGGCGACGACCACGCGAGACGAGCATCGTAGCACGGAAATCTTTGAATTTATTGGAAGATCTGACCTCGAATCACGCAGTTTCTTTTAAGGATGAACCTGCACAGCCAGGGAAGAATCAGATCATGTTCAGCATGAATGACGGATTCCTATCGTTCTGTCCATTGCTGTGCAACAACCGACTTGCGCTGCACCGGCCGGCAGCTGATGGCCCAAACAACTCTTGATCCGGGATGGCCCCCGTGGCGAATTGGTCGGGTCCATTGATTCCAACATCGTTCCAATCTGTTGGAACCCCAAAATCGGACTCAGCAAGGATGATCAGGATGGGCCATGATGGGCCACCAGTGAAGGGATGATCATGAGGCCTGTCCTGACTTCTTGCGACTCTTCGAGCCTTTTCAGGGCAAGCTTGGACCCAGCCAGCCATACTCAATGGATCCGTATGAAGCTAGCTCCGGTCGGAAACGCGGATTGAGCACCTATACCGATACCGGTGCGTCTTAGCATGGGTTTGGAGATGTTTGCAGGGCTTGCCATCCGGTAGTCCTACTCTATCCTGGTTTGTCCTCCTCCCCGCCATCTCTCCTCATCGCGGTCATAGTCATCCCCCTCGTCATCATCTGGAAGGGCTTCGTCCAAGTCCTCTTGTCAAGTCTCTGGTGACCCTAAAATGCTTGCAGTTAATGGCTTGGTGCCAAGCGCGATCCTCCTAATTACTGTTGCCCATCATTGCATAGACATCCAATAACTCCCCCCCAAAAGGTGGCAATTGTGATGCTGTGCAACAAACAACTTCCCGTCGTTCGTTCACCACCTTCCCGTTCCTTCTCTACCCTCGCGGCCCGAAACGCGCGAGACGCCCGTCCTTTCCCATCGAGATTGGGATGTGTTGGTTGGCTCACTTTGGACCAAAACTCTGGGGTCAGGGGAGCTTCTGTTGCCAGACCGGAAGGCAAAAGCACCCACGGGTGCCAGAGTTGGCTGCGGACGGGTGCCAAGCAATCGCCGCTCAAATCCAAGGATTTCAACGGATGATCATGAACTATCATGAGTCATGAAAGATGGATAAACTGCCAGAAGCTGAAGGATGCCAGAAGCTGCGCGCCACTCTTCGCGTCCACAAACCGGAAAGGTGAGTCTTTGACCCTGCGGTCAAACCTAAGAAATAGACCGGCCGCAAGAATTTCTGAGGAATGGATTGGTGTGCTGTATACGTACAGTATATGTGCATTATATAATATATAATATATAGCAATAAGTAATATTGTATATAGAGAACCAAACCTACACTGCTCCCAATCAAGATGTGCCAAATTACAAATTATTTTCGTTTTGAAATACAGGTTTCCCATGCACAAGTGGAACTCCTTTGGTCCGTTGGAGAGTGTTTAAACCTTCAGTTTTTTTTTTTTTTAAGTGCAACGGAACCTTCTGGTGTGAGACTGTCATATGAGACATGACACTCTCAGCCAACAAGCCACTCTCAGACCACCACGCGATACCTTCACAGGATGAAATGAGTTTGTGCCTCTGAGGTCAGAATGGATCAGTGTGAACCCAAGAGCCAGCATCACAAGAGTCTCAACTGACCACCAACAGTCGTGATGCGGAACAGCCACGTCGGCGGCCGTGGGCCCCGAAAACGGACACCCAACACGGAGCCAGCGTTCGTATCGGCCTAGATGGGAGCCAGTGCAGGGCCCAAGGGCCAGAACAGCCCAAATCGCAGAAGTCAACGGCAGGGCCCCTGCGAGGATTTGGTCCAAAGCGGAAGGGCGGCGGAAGCGGTAGTTAACTGGGCAGGTGTCAACTGGGCATCCCCCGTGGTCGCAGGCCCTCTTTTCGCAAGGAAGAGTAGTCAACTACAGCATCTTACGGCACTTTGAAGATAGCATGGAAGATCTAGATTCTTTTGGAGGCTCAGAGGTTGGAGGACCAACACTGCGAGAGAGAGGTCTACACTCTTTGAGCTTGATGACACACTCGATGCTCCATCCACCCGCCACCGGTGGAACCACCGTGCCGGTTGCCCAGTGATCCCTGACGGGCCAACCTGGTTGAACGAGGCCAAGCTTGGACCCCAAGCTCTCAACACATCACATGTCAAGATTAACTAAATGATGCTTCACTGCAGTACATGGTTCGCATATGTTCACAGATGTTCACATGTCAAACCGTGCGAAGGACCCCCAACCAATCATCGCAGTAACCACCCGAAACCAACGTCTCGCGTCCACCGATCCCACCAATCGATCGCCACGATCGCCTTGACCCACCAAGGTCGGTGGGAAAAATAGGTCGGTGCTCCGCAGGGGCTATTGGCATTGCTATTTGGCTATTGGGCATTCACTTGCTAGTATGGTTGGCTGTCTGCAAACAAAAAGAACCCGCACACTCCATATGAGACCTGGTAGATCCTGGTTCTTGACACACTCTTTCTTAGTTCAGCCGTTGAACGGGATCCTGGTTTTCCGGCTGAAGGATCAAATCGCTCTTGCAAGAACCAATGACCGTGGATCGCTACTCTTGAATGGAAAGAGGAAAAGCTGAAGTGCGCCGCCATTGGTTCTTCTATAATTAAACATATATAATGGTCGCATATAATACCTCGTGCGAATATGGTCCCATAAAACCCACTAAATCGGAACCATCTGCATTCCATGTAGCGTTGATTGGCACTTCAGGTTGGTGGGTGCTATTAGACCAAATAATGAGCTAGATCCCTAGTCAAAGCTCCCACAGTCGCCAACCCCACTTTTTGTCCGGCCCTGTAGGACATGAGAATTGAAGGAATGGACAAAAGTGTCCATGTCACCATCTCCATTCCCCCTATGAAAAGGCAATTTGCAATTTGATTAGACTTGTATACTACTGGGAACCTCAATTAGTGTAGACTTTGATTAGACTTGCAACCAGTATACAACAATCACGTTATTGAGGTTCCCAGTACAGCATACTGGAGATGAATCTACTTCTCTGCTGTACTGGCGATCTACTTCGCCGGTTCCTCGAGCCGGCGTGAAGAAGCAAGAAGCCTGTAACAGACCGGGGCACAGACCGTCTCGGTTAGATGAAAGGAAATGAACATGTAAGAACTACACACATGTGTTCACCGCACTTCTACAAAGTAAACACATACAAAGAATAACATGTTCCAAGATGTTCAAAACATCTGACATCTGTTCTCAAATTCCAGGTGGAAATCCTCCAAGCAACCATGCGACTGCCCCAGTGGCGTCGCGCGTGGCGGGCGTTCCGCCACTCGACCGTCACCCAAGCTCGCCCGTTCGCACCCGGTGAGCGCAGACAGATGTGGAAGGTCGGGGCCCTCGGGTTGCGACAGATGTGTTCTTCAGATCGATTTTGGGCCTCCTTCCTCCGACAGACCTGGCCACAAGATGCTGTTTCAAGTGCGTGCCTCCAACAGGGTTAAAGTATGTTAAAGTGACACTGCATCTTGGGACAGGTTCAGGTTGACAATCCGTGGACCCTCCATGCGACATGGACTATCAGCTCCTGGTTCGCTCAGAAATTCTCAGAGTTGCTGCGTTTGATCACGCAAAGAACGCTGGCCGGGAACCACGTGGGAGGAGCGTAGCGAGTCATCCTGGACGTATCAGATGCAAAGTTGCCTTTCAACTGAGGACTGAGGATTCTTGACTGAGGACTGAAGAAAACTGAGGACTCTTGACTCTTGATGAAATGGCACAAAGGAATGATGACAAAATGACAAAATGGAGCGTTTCTCAGCAAACATAGAAGAACATTGGACAGCCAAGTCTATCACGTTGATGAGCTTGACACCACCACAGATCACTAGATCACCAGAAGAAGGACTGGAGGATTGGGCCAGTTGTGGGCATTACAGTATATAACCATGTCTTTTTGTTCACATGCTTTCACACCTAAGGCTAGTGCGAACTTCATTCATGTTGCTAATCCACCCCAAAGCAAGCTCCACGAGATCAGTCTTGTTGAGTGGGTCATCTGGAGGGCTGAAGCAGTCATTCTGAGCCAGTTTTGAGAAGCTCCAAGAAGTTGTAGCTTGATTGAATCAAGAGATTCTACATGGCATCAAATCCCAGCACAACACATAGAAGTCATGTTCACATACGAGGTCTTTACTCCAGTATCACACAAATGTATCCCGGGAGTTGGATTGATACCAGGCCGAAGGCTTCGCCGCCGAGCGACCCAGTCGACACGAACGAGCGAATGAAGCTTTTCTACATCTACGAGGCGAGCGAGCGGTGTCGGTTTCCAGGAGTGGGGGGGGCCATGGACTCGATACCTACACAGGTGCCAAGGGAGATGATGGGAGATGTGTTTACATCTTTAGGATTCTTTACGATCCTTTACAACCCTTTTTAAGGGTCCTTTAGAGGTGTCCATTGACCACCTGTATTTGTTTCAGTTGTCCTTTGTGAATAGACTGTAGATGGATGATTTGAACGGCACGGATCGAGATGAAGATTAAACAATTTTGAGCTAAGGAGCAGGAAAAATCCCAACACCAGTTCCGAATCAAGAAAAAAGCAGCGTGTGTCTGACCCATTGTTCCACATGTTTCATACAAATCAAAAAGGAGTTATACGTATGTGTGATTTTCATATTAGTAACATCTGACTGCTTTTAATATAAATATCTTCATATGTCGCCTGTTCTTTTATGAGAATTCGTTGGCCGGAGCCCTCTCCATATTTTTTCTTCGGCGAATTCGCACCTCCACACCCGACGAATTGGCACTCTTTTTGGGGTCGAGAAACAACGTGCGGAGCTCCATGTCGCGAACGGTCGGTCGGACGCGGTTTGGTCAAAGGAGTGGTGGCGGTTTTTCAGGTTTTTCCAGATCATGCAGTTTCCAGCTTCGATTGACTAGACCAACCAACAAAAAGCTGAAAAAACAGGTCTCCAAGAAACAAACCTGGATAATTAGTTAGTGGATGCATTTGTCATATATTAACACAATCAGGCAAGCTCCGCTCACACCAAATATATATATATATATAGGATTCAATTTTAAGTTGGTTCATTGGTAGATTGGTGGAACAATAAGAAAGCAGCATGAAGGAACGTTGCCATGTCATGAATGCCCAATGCTATAAGTGCGGAGAAAGGTTATATAATTCAGCCAAACATGCCAGATGTTGAGCGAAGCATGAAATCCATCGTGAAGCAGCTCTTCCATCTCCTCCAAATTTGTCCAGCAGAAAAAGATCAACAAGTAGAGACAACTGACAAAGGCATGACACGCACGCCTGTCATCATGCATGACAAACGCCTGTGTTGATTGATGGTGATTGATGGTCCGACGGTTGGTTCTCGTTTCCACGCGTCAACCGGTTGAGGACTGGCAGTTGAAACAGGAAAAAAACAACTGCCAAAGACTGCCACTCGTTTGACCAAGGAGAGATATCACTCTGTTGTCTGATGATCGAAATCAATGTTTCAGTTGTTTGGTTTACGGCCAGTTTCGCAGGTTTGCCCATCAAATTATTCATCAAAGCCTGCAGTACTTCCAGGGAAACACATCATCAGCTCTGACAACGGTTTTCCTAAGGAAACAGTTGACATTTGTTGGCTGAGAATTACCGATTACATACTGTAGCCTGTTTGCAATTGATGAGGAAACAAACAATCACACAAGCAAAAACTGACCAAGTCTGCGGAGTGTATGGCTCAACATTCCGGCAATGGGCCACCACAAATATCCGCCAGGCACTGATCAGGATGATTGAATCTTTCGTTTGAGGAAAAAAGGCGAACCGCCGTCGAACTCAAAGAACTCCTGTCCGTCGAATCCCCGTCAGCTTGCTCCGTCAGCAGGAGCCAAAAAGCTGATCAGGGCTGCTACGTGCTGAAAGACTGGCCGAGCATCGATTGTTGAAGCAAAGAACCAAAACCGGAGAATGTGCGATGGACCAAAAAAGAGATCCCACCAAACGTACCGTACCCGGTTCTAGATCGTTGGGTCACTGCGAAGGTATGGCCTTGCGAGGGTATGGCTGGAGCCATGGCCGAACACGCAAGAAATACTTTGACTGGGAAAAAAACTACTCGATACACTCAACAAACTTTGTGAACATGTACATGTCCGGGATCGTCCACTGATTGTTGAGGAGGCATGTCTTTGTTCATGTTTATTCTAGTTGCTCTTGAGAGAAGACATGCCATCTTCAACAGCTGAGTCCTCGACCATAAAGCATCATAAAGCCAAGAAA